AAGATCCATGCATATCAATGCCTTGTGGTCCACAAGGACGGTGTTTAACTATAAATGCAGCACCAAAAGGATATATGTGTATGTGTCAAGTTGACGGGATTTCTTATACAACTATTGATACATGTCCAAGTAAAAAAATGATCTAACATGGAAATAGTGATCAAACTCTTTTTTTCGTATTTAATTATTTCATAATAAGATCCATGCATATCAATGCCTTGTGGTCCACAAGGACGGTGTTTAACTATAAATGCAGCACCAAAAGGATATATGTGTATGTGTCAAGTTGACGGGATTTCTTATACAACTATTGATACATGTCCAAGTAAAAAAATGATCTAACATGGAAATAGTGATCAAACTCTTTTTTTCGTATTTAATTATTTCATAATAAGATCCATGCATATCAATGCCTTGTGGTCCACAAGGACGGTGTTTAACTATAAATGCAGCACCAAAAGGATATATGTGTATGTGTCAAGTTGACGGGATTTCTTATACAACTATTGATACATGTCCAAGTAAAAAAAAAGATCTAACATAGAAATAGTGATCAAACTCTTTTTTTTCGTATTTAATTATTTCATAATAGCTACTAGTTCATTTTGTACACATATGACATGTAAGAATGGGGGTACATGTGTGCCATTTTCTGTTGATGATCCATCATGTAATATTGGTCAAATTGGTTCGACTTGTTGTCAATGTAATTAAATATTTGTAATTATTTAAATAAGAATTGTTTTTTTTTTCATGTTGTATGTTTTAGGTCCACCGAATTTTACTGGTTTACGTTGTGAACAAGGTCTGTTTATTGTTAAAAATAGATGTAAAGAAATATATTGTTTGTTTTATAGAGGTTGATTTTTGTTCATCAAATCCATGTAAAACTAATGGACGTTGTTTATCAGATAAATCTGGTTATCGATGTCAATGTTATGAAGGATATATGGGTGAAAATTGTGAAGGTAATGATAAAAAAAAACATTTTACTAAACTCATTTTTGATCTACTCATTTGTCTTCGAACTTGGTAACTGCACTTCTAATAATTGATCCTTTTTTTTGTATAGTTCGATTAACAAGTTCCGGTTGTGCTTCAAATCCATGTACAGTTGGTATTTGTTATCAATTAAATCAAAATGGACCTTCTTATGTTTGCATATGTCCAGATGGTACACTTAATCTTTCGTGTAATTCACCAAGTATGTTTACAAATACTTTGTTTTCGATAATTTCATATAAAAAAAATAAATAATAATAAAATTAGATTCAACAAGAAATCTTTATACAGTACCAACAACTACAATAACATCATTAATGTTTGGTCATAATTTAAAACCTCGAGGAGGTGGAAGTATAAATTCAGTTCCTACAGTTTCAACATGTAGTCCAACAACAAGAGATACTTGTAATGGTGGTCAATGTTTAATGACGGGCACAGGTGTATATGCATGTCGTTGTCGTGAAGGTTATACGGGTGCTTATTGTGAAAATAGTTGAGTAGAAAATTTTTGAAAACAACAGAAAAAAACAACAAAAGATTAATATTTTATGTTTTTATTAGATATTAATGAATGTGCTTCAAATCCTTGGTAAAATTTTTAATAAAAAAAACAATTTTTTTTTTACTTTTAAAAATTTTAGTTTGGGTGGTGGTACATGTTATGATCTTGTTAATGCTTATGCATGTTTTTGTCCTGATCGAGTTTTTCGACCACAATGTGGTAATATTTCGTCGACTAGTAAAGATACTACTACTACTACTGCAGGTTTAATAAGTAAGAATAATCATAATTAAAATGAAAAATACTATACAATTTTTATCATATTGTTTTTTTTTGACTTAGATACAATATCGTTTACAAAAGAAGAAAAATTATTTCCAAGTGAATGTCTTTGTCGTAATGGTGGTATATGTTATACAAATTCAGCTAGTGGAAAACTTTGTCATTGTCCTAATGGTTTTACTGGACCATTTTGTGAAACAACAATTAGTAAGTTTGATGAAATAAATAAATAAATACCTATATTTTGTTTTGTTTTTTCTTGTTAAGCATCTCGTATCAATACTGGTCAATTTAGTTGTAGTCAAGCATCATGTGAAAATGGTGCTACATGTCAAGAACAAGGATTTAATACTATTTGCATATGTAAACCAGGTTTTACTGGTCAACGATGTGAAATAGGTATGTTTGGTTAAAAAATATAATACAATAAAAAAAAAACAGAAAATTTTTTTTTTTTTTTTTTCTATATAGAATATTTCCGTTGTCAAGGTAATGGTCGTTTTGCTGATGCATCAAATTGTAAACAAGGGCGTTATTTTGAATGTGTTTATTATGGACAATGTAAGTTAAGAGAAACAAACGAGAAAAAAATAAGATTGATTATTGATCTTTTATTTCAGATGATTTAAATTTACCAAATGGAATTCTTTATAGTCGTAATTGTCCACCTGGTCTTCGATTTAGTACATTAAGCGATCGATGCGATTATTCAAGTGTTGTACAATGCTAAATAACATATACTTTTTTTTTTCTTTTTGAATGGCAACATATGTACATTTCTCTCGACATACACTTTTTTTTTTTTCTTTTTCTCGGTGCCATTTTCTCTTTTATCTCACATTCTTAGACGACTATATGTAGATCGTTATATGTTTCTTCTTATTATTCGTTTGTTTTCTTTTTTTTGCTCAATTCTCATATACGAAAAAAAAAAAAAGAAAATATATACATCATTGCATCGTAATATGTTCTAGTCACGAACGAATAATTGTATTAGAAATCGACGACGACGAAGATTACAATCAATCAGTTCTTCTCGGCTTTTTTTTCTCACATGAAAGATAGATAGATAGATAGACTTTTTCTTTCTATGCCGTCTAATGATACCGGAAAATAAATAGAGTGTCTTGGCCTACAAGCAAGCAATATGGCTATGCAATGAGCTAAGTTCCGGTTTCCTATTATTGTTGTTATTCTATAAAATGGTGATCAACACAGCTGAATAGAAATGTATATGAGGGGGAAAAAAGCAAAGACGAGCGTCTTTTTTTCCCGTTGGCTTCATTCTCGAGAGATTGGATTAAGACGACTGCATGTTGCACTAAAAAAAGAAAACTAATGTCGACTAAGCTTAGATAGAAAAAAAAAAAAAAAGGAAGAGAAATGAGTAAGTGCCATTCTTAGTTGCAAGTGCATATCATTATTTTCATAGTCGATTTTTTTTTCGTATTGTTTTGTTCTTGATCAAATACAGAATGAATGTGGTCTTCAATTATTGTTTTATTATTATTGATTATTAAATATCAAAGTAAATTAAATAGAATTATTAGTTATTTAAATTAATCTTTGTATGTATATGTTTTTAATTAGATATCGAAGCACTTTCTTGTTATCAATGTTCAATGAAATATTCGAATGAAGAATGTAATTCAAATAATTCAACATATGCAACTGAATGTCAACCAACATTTGATACATGTGTAACAATTGTACTTAAACCAGGTAGAATTTTTGTTTGATTTTACTTTTTTTTTTCTCAATTTTCATATTCATTTTAGCTATTCTTAATCAATTATTAATAACAAAATATTGTACAAAACGTAAAGCATGTGAACGTCAATTAAATTATATACATTCATTAACATCATGTCGACCAAATGATGAAAGTCGTAGTTGGGGTTGTGTTACATGTTGTGGTGATCGAGATTTATGTAATTATGATGATTCAAATATATTAAAACCTAATTTGACAATATTATTAATCTTATTTATAAATTGTTTCTTTTATGGTTATTAATCAAATTGAGTTTTTTTTGTTGTTCATATTATAACAAACTTTATGTAAAAAAAAAACAAAAAAAGAATAAATTGCATTCATTTACAATAAGAATGAAAACTTCATGCAATCGATATTTATCATGAAATAAAATTCAAAATGATTTCGATTTCTATTCGAGTAGATATAAAAGTAATCATTATATTTGGTTGAAAAAGAAAGCAGAATGTAAATAGATAGTATGACTAAGAAAGACAAATAGAAATATCTTTTTTTGAAAATTATAAGGTGATCATTGTATTAATATAGTAGATGATAATACAAAAAATATACGTTTAGTTCATTAAATCTGATAGGAATTATTCTGTGAATTCTTCTATAATTCATCATCATTTCGAAAACGATTTCTATTTTGTTTTGGCTTTTTTGATGTTGTCATCTTGTTTTGCTGTCTTTTGCTCTTGTAGTTATTTTGAGTCAATAAAGTGTTGACAGAGTATCAATCTTATTTATTAACGTAGTTCTTGATTCATCAATCACTGTCTGAATAAATAAAATTTATGTACTATTTATTTTTTTACAAGACAAACACACTTCGAACTCTATTCATCGTGCAATATATTAATAAAAAATAAGATAGAAGACAATAATAGATATTGCTCTAAGCAGTATCCATGCATCCACATACATATTGATGCTACACCCTTTTCCTTTTCTTCCTTGTTTTTTAATCATAATCCTCTTCAGTGTCATGCATGCAACCTAGATACTTCCTTCGTTGAAATAATCCAACAATTTTAACATCATAGTGGAAAATAAGTATGCATAATCAAAAAACACAAAAATAATAATGATTCGTTTCTAACCATTGACATGTCGGATCAAGTTTTTTTTTTGGATCATTGAAACATTTGAATTGCATTTTAGTCTTCGATAAAGTAAGTAGATCATGATTAAAGATCTAGGTTATATCACATGCGATTTATGGTAATAATAGTTCTGTATAAGATATTTATAAAACATTAAAAATCACTTACAACAAAAATAGTTAGATCATGTTGATCGAGAATAGGATATTCTTCAAAGTAATCATAAAACTAAGAATTATAATTGAGTCGTGCGATAAATGATTGAATAGAAATTGATTTGAAGAAATGGATCGCGAACAGCTAATTATAGAAACTATTGATAGTATTGAGATACTGTCAATGATTTGTTTTATTCAATTGAAACAACATCCTACTCCTACTAAGTTGACTGAACTCTTTCGATTTCTTTTCTTGGTCATTGATCGACATCGATATTAGAATTCTTTCTTTGAAGTTTAGAAAGTGTATTGCTCTTATACTATCTCTTCTTCATTTGTCATTAATAGTGCATAGAAAATATTGAAGAAAGATATGAGAAAATGGAAAAATTGTGTTCATTGTTGAAAAGAATAGAATGATCATCACAGATTTAGGTTATTGTTTTCTAAAAGAAATTTCTTTTCTCATCAACAATCAAGAGACAAAGTGAATATTGATTGATTGTATTCTCTAGTTCTTTTCAGTTTCTTCTTCTTCGACATGCAATGATGTCACAGTTCAATGAATATGAGTTTTCGAATTGAATTGCATTTGAACCTAAATAGTTTTTCGATAATTCAATAGATTGATAGTCGAACTTATTTTAATGAATAATCTCAAAAAAAAACCATCGATATAATTTACTTTTTGCAAACATAATCAGTATGAAAAATAATTGGTGCCGACATGCGAACAAACTGTCCTGATCGTTGACCATATAAGTATTGTTATGTGTGATCGAATGAATCAATTGTTTTCTCCACCAGATGTGAATATTTGTGTGAGGAGTGAATAACAAGGATGTGAAAGAACAGATTACATTTGTTGGAATTGAATAATCATTTTAGTTCATGATTTGATTTACAACGGTACATGTATGTCGCTGATCAGACCAATATTTGAATTCATGTATTTGATTTGAAATGGATTTACGATCGAGAGATGAATGTTAATGACGAATTATATGTAATTTTTCTGTATCAAATTTTGTTGTACCATCATTTGAGAGTCGAATTTTTATCTATTCCTATCGATTATAAACAATGATTCTTCATTTGATCACTGAAAAAAAGTTAAGAAAAAGATTTGAAGCAAGGCGTAACTTCTGTCTTGAAAGTGAAAATCAAAAGACAATCTTTATTGGTAGATCAATCATCAAATAAATGAATCAATATTCATTTCCACAGTTTAGCACTAGAATAATTTTGACAAATATTTACGCATGCTCTTCAAAGTATTAAGGGCATCATTAAAAACGTGTAATGATAAATCTCTTGAAGATAACGGAGAAAAGGTATAAGGGTAAGAGAGACAACAAAAAAAAAGAAAAACAATAGAGAAATGTATTGCAATGGTAGTATTTTCTCTTCCTATTATGTCGTTTCAATAAAAGCTTGTCACTTTAAAAGATATGATTCCTATCTATCTATCATTTGGTTAATACGACGCCAATGAAAATAATACCGAAGTGATCATTAATGAAGTGTTTCTTATTAAAACAATTTGCTTTTGTCCTTTTCCAAATCAGTTAAACTATTAATTGTTGATCACTCTCGCTGGTCCTCAGAAGAATTCGACAATACTATACAATTCATCATCAATCGGTTTTTTATCACGATATTTATCATTCAATTGTTGTACTAATATTGATTTGAATTCGATCAGAAATATTTTCGCATTGATTTTATCACAAATCACTCGTTGTAAAGCCATCGATATTTAGATGTTGACTAAAAAAAGTCAGATAAAGGTCGCACGGATATATTTATATGTATATATGAATGTCACGTTTGATGTCAACTATCAGACATTTAGTCAAATTACACAAATTGGCTAAAAGTATTATTATTCTAATTTTTTTCTCATATGATTGTGAAGAACAAGTTTGAATTTAGTTCCAACATCTATTTTGTCAAACAGTGAGAAAAGTAAACAAACCTAGCCTGCTCCACCGATCGTGATCAGTGTGGCGAGGTTTCCACATTACGATTAAATCGGCTGTGTTGCGTTTCACATTTCTATCCCGAAAGCGCTGTGGTGGAAGATTTTTTAATGAAGTAAACTTTCATTGTAGAGCATATGATCAACAATAGTAATTTTTTTCCTTGCAGCATCCACTTTCTGTTTTTGATACTTTAAACTGCCATCCAATCGTCTATATTTTCTTTCATTTTATTCCATATATGACTCTTACTCACCGCAGTGGAGGCATCATGTGTTTTTCTACTATTGCAATTTGTTGTCTTCGTTCTTTTTTTTTTGTTTCCCTTTATCTCTTTTGATTTAATATAATTATTGTTGACCCATGTTGTTTTATTTATCGCCGCTCATATTTTGCTTTTTTCCCAGGCGCATGAAGAAAGATTACAATAATCTATCTGCCTACGTGGTGTATTCAGGTAAATCTAAATGTTGATTATCATAGACAGACTATGTACCTTAAACTTTGTGCTTAGCTACTCTTCCTATTTTATTGCTTTTATTCGTTTTTTCTTCTTTGTTTGTTCCATTTGGTGCTCTCTCTCTCACGCATTTTATATAAGAGAAAGTAGAGGCCGCATAAAGAGACTACAGACAGAGGCAATATATTTTCTGACACAGCTTCATGACAAACTAAATAGTCTAGATGGATTCAATCTTCTGTAACTTTATTGCTGAGGTATTGTATTTTTGATTGAATATCTTAGCAGATTTTGAGTTTCGTATCGTCCTCACTTGTCATTACATTTCTTTCCCCTTTCAATATTTCATCAGCTAATTATATATTATACACTGCCTTAGATTGTTAACCATCTCTCTTTCATGAATAGTTATCTATCTTCTAACTACGCTCTTTTTCTATTATATACAGGTAAATACATATTTATCTTTTATGTACACTAGCTATATCCTGTGTGCTCAATATATCAAAGAACAATAAATTGACAGAAATAAAGAGAGTAGATGGAGGATGTAAGAATAGATAGGATGGGAGAGAGATAGGAAAATTCAACCATGAATCGATATTTGTAAGCGTTTAGTCAACTGAACTCACAACGTTAATGGGAAATGTTTTCTTCGAGTGAATAATAATTGAATAATTTGAGTGATTCTTTAAATTGTACTTATTTAGTTTTCAGTATTTCATATTGCTGAAAAGAATACGTGATGTTGACTGCAGTTGATATAGAATTCCTTTCAAATACTATTGATGAAGCATGTCAAGAGTGGCAACAAAAGTATTAAACAGCCACTCAAGAACTATTGCAAGGTATTTGGCAAATTTTGGATGTTTGTACACAATATTTAATTGAGCTTTCGAAATCTACTGCTGATGACGCACAAGTTAAACAGAATCGACTGGACGCCGAACGCATTGTATTTAAACTGAAACAATTAAGAAGCACTTTGGGTAATTTATGGCCAGCCAGCATCAATAGTTTTACTAGAGATATGTTTGATGTTGGCATCTATCACATAGACGCAATCGAATTTTTTCATCCTGTTCCGTTTTATCCAGGTCACCCTTTCTTGATGAAACTATACCAATGGCCAGTTCGTGACACAAATGGAACACTAGTATATCGTTACTTTTTTAGAAAAAGTGAATTCATGGACTTAGCACCGTACTATGTTCTAGGCAAAACATTCGTACATGGGCGCTCTCAAATCCAGCCATATGGACCAATTATACCAGATTATAATCAAATGAAGATTCATGTGATTGATAATTTAAGTGGTCAAGGTTCTCAACCGTTAACTACAATGCCCGTGCCATTTTACGGACCTTGATTGAAATGATGGCATAGGGTTTCATAGAACATATTGTATTTTTTTTTGAGACAATACAATAAACAAATAAAGAAAGATTATTATATCCATTGTGCACCAACATGACTCATTGATAATCAAATGGCAGAGAAAAAGTTAGATCTAATCAAATGAAAATTGTCACCGATCATGCATATTATGGTCATACAGAGACAGGTCAATACGATCATTTATTTTTCTATCTAAGATACTCTTGTTTATTTTACCTTCTACACATCAACCGTGTTGAATTTCGTCGAACATTGTTCTTATATAATTTCTCTTTTTTCACTAGACAATAGAAAAGAGAATAATATCATGAAAACATAATTCAGTGCTTGTTCTTCGATGAAAACACACGAATTTTCTCAGTAGGCAAGTCAGTGTTGAACATTTTTATTGTGACCGCATATATGATAAAGGATAGCAAAAATTTATAGTTCGCAGCTACCACTGTCTTCCATATGAATGCATACTCATTTGCAAAGAATATCTCCTTGTTCTTTCGTTTTCACGTAGTATGATCCAGTTGCGAAAAATAAGTGTATTAAAGAGATGAGAGATCTCACCAGTATACTTCTTTTAAGCTAAACAATAATCGATACAAAGTGTCAAGTGTATAGCAAGTTTTCATCATTTGCCTGATAGAATTCTTCTCAAGATTTCTTGCTATTTAAATACAGCAGATGTTCTCAGGGTCTTCTGAATTATAAGGATCATATGTTTTCCTGCACATCTCAAAGTATGTGTCGGTGTGGGACAGTAGTGTTGTTGTCAGTCTGTGGAATATGGATATGAAGTGTTGATGTGACTCTTCTTCCCAGTAACATTCACACCCTGGAAGATTTTACAATTGGAAAAAATGAATTTTCTGATAATGAGAATAAAAGTTACTCTTACTCAAGTTATTTTTTTAATTTAAATAATTGAACATTTAGGAATAATTGATGATATAACACAGCAAATAAAATAAATATACTGATGGTTTAATAGTAACAAGAGGAGTTAAAAACATTGTAGTTAAGCAAAATTCTGTAAGAAAGACAACAATATATTAGAAATATTTTTGTGAACATGTCCATGAATGAAAATCAAAAAGCGGTGATTAATTTATACACAATTAACGAATTATTTTAAATAGAAATTTTTCGCATTTTTTTCTTAGGTATTTAAAAGAACAAGTTGCTAACCAAAACATTAAAAATATATCAAAATAAAGCAAGTGAAGAATCTTGTGGATCTTCTTTGAAGATGATGATCATCAAATATGCGTGTGGGTGTTTATAGACTCTTCACACCGACACCCCGATTTCGTTCGACTCGTGTCAATTTCAAAAACAGCACGAACCGAACTCATCTGTAGTAACAAAGGTGGCATTGATGTTATTTCTTTTTCTCTGTACATCAGTACGAGAAGAGCTTCTAATAAAACCAATTATTTGAAGCTACAACGAAAGATGTCATGCTGAATTAGTGACAGCAAACCGATTGAAAAATTCAAGTCTTCAAACGGATGAATAACTTAAGAAAATTTTGAGTAGTACTACGGACAAAAAAATGCTCTTGATTGTCCTTGTTTTCTTCAGTAGTTAAGTTTGCTTCCCAAACTAATAATCTTAACATTATACTTGCTCTTGGAGTTGTGCCTGCTGCATGCGCTCTCTATTCACGTTTTCGTCTACCAGAATCACCTCGTTATGCCGAACGAGTTCTCAAGGATCTTGAGCTGACTGAAATGAGTAAAGCATATGCACTCGGAGTAAACTCACAAAGTTCCGCAAACTTGATCTCGAGTGAGTCTATGGATCAAACGAAAAAGCTCATCGATGATCGTCATCATTTTCGAGATTTTAAAATTTACTTTTCACGATGGCGCAACTTAAAAGTTCTTATTGGCACATGTTCAACTTGGTTTTTACTCGATATTGCATTCTATGGCCTTTCACTCAATCAATCAATAGTAATATCAGCTATTAGTTTCGCACCAGATGCAGCTAAACCATCACCTTGGGAAACTCTGTTTAAACAGGCACTTGGGAATTTAATTATTTCACTTCTCGGTGCTATTTCTGGCTATTATGTTACTGTATTCACTGTCGAACGTCTTGGCCGTAAGACTATTCAAATAGTTGGTTTTACTATGGAAACTCTTCTTTTTATAATTGTTGTTGCAGCATTTCATCCACTAAAAGATCGAGCTGTAGCAGCATTTGTTGTCATGTTTGTTCTCATTCAATTTTTCTTTCAATTCGGTGCTAACACGACGATATTTGTTATTCCGGCTGAAGTGTTTCCGACACGATTTCACTCCACAGCTCACGGTCTTTCAGCAGCGTGCGGAAAGGCAGTTGCAATTCTCGTAGCATTTGCTTTCAATATACTAGTTAATCATGAAGGTAAAAATGCGTTTCTACCACAGAAACTCGGCATTTTTGCTGGTATTCAATTTATTGATCTTCTTATCACCAAATTTCTATTGCCCGAATCGAAGGGTCTAGATTTGGACTATTTCGAAGAGAGTGAAGCGGAATGGCGTCCAAAAAATCAAGAAAACCATGTTGTTGTCAATGAATATCAAACTTATCATTAGTTTTGTTGAATTGATATGACATAAATATCAATGAGATAAAATATATGGATGTTACTTTATTTTTACTTTTCTTTATAATAAAATATGAATATAAATAAAATCTTTATCTTTATAAAATAAATTATAAAGAAATTCTTTATATTTGAAGAATAAAATATTAATAAAAAAAAATTATTATTTGAAAGTAAGGGTAGATAACGTCTTGATATTTAAAATATAAATATAAAAAATTTTTCTTATTCACCTTTATAAAAAAAAACAGGTAACATAAATATTAAAGAAACATTTTTCGATGAGACCATAATCTTTAATGCTTACGAAGTAGTTCACAAAAAATTATGAAGCCATAGATGAAAATGAAATATACAGAGTAGTTTTTTTTGCATGTATTTTTTCCACCTATAAGCTTGATTTTCAATAATATGACATGTCGAAATGATGTTGGTGATAAGAAAGAATATTGATTAATATGTTCTTTTGTTATAGTAGATATTTGTCTAGTTATCTATCACAGAAAAAATCTTTCTTTATTCTTTATTTTATCTTTGTTTTTATACAATAAAGATAAAATAACACCCCTGAGTTAAAGATAATCTCCATTGTAGAGTTTGGCAGCAATATTTTCTCGTCAACACTCGTCAATGCAAGCCAAAAATGCAAACGATAAGTTTGTCTCCTATTTATGAAACTAGCAGGAATCTCAAAAGTATTTAGCAGCTAACTGACGACAGTATCATCTGATTTTCATTGAAGAACTTAAAAAAGACAAATAAACCTATTGAAATTGTTTACTAGATGCTGATTTCTCTCTCTTGATTTGACAACCATCGAACAATTTTCCATATCTAATACAGAAATTTACTAATCATTCATACCTCTTCATGTTGTCGAGAGTGATATCCTGTATTCAAACGTCGTAATAATCTTTTCATTCTAACATTAAATTTGAATAAATTTTTAGAAAAATATTGTCTAAAAACGAAGGATAAGTATCAAACAAACCAATCTCAAAAAGCTTGTTCTTCTAAAACACCAATCCTTGCTTGTCTATTAGTACGAGTTCCAATATTATCATTACTATATAATATTAGGCGGAGTAAAATATCACTATCATCTTATATTGTATACTATATGCACAGGAAAACTATATATTCACTTTTTATATTATAGGGATCTACCAAGACTGAGGACTCCCTAACTAAGATCGAAATTTTTCTTCGGCAAAAACTCACGAGATTCTACGAAATTTTTATTGAGAATTGCTTAGCTTGATTTCATCTTGCAGGAAATACAACCGAATGGATGGGTGTGGATGTGAATGTGGGGTGTGAATAGAGGACCCACACTCCATACCCACATCCACACCCCACACCCTTCAGAGTAAATGCTGTTTTTATACACTTATGAACCAATATTATAAATAATGAAAAAGATATCAACGTGTGGAAATAGACGGGTACTCTTTCAGTTTATCAGAGTCGTCCTTGATCATGCTACTAAAATTATATTCTGATTTGTATTAAAGTATTATTTAAGTCGGTTAGAGTCAAGACCTGTAACAATTCTTGATCAACGAAGAGTTTAACAGTTCAGTTCCTTGATCGAGAACTGCCACAGACCTAGTGAGCTTTAAGAGAAATTTCGAAGTCATATGATCAGAAACCAAGCAAAATTTTCCGTGACACAATAACAAGATTTCATCTATGCCAAAATCTGATCTATTCCAAGCGAGCAAACGACGAGTAAAATGTCTAATCTTTTTCTAGTCGTGTCACCTCGTCTTGACTAATCTTTGTCTCAAGACCTACTCTAACATGACTAGTTGGAACTTCGATCCATCATGCACACTAGTCCAAAATAATGTAGTTGACGGACATCATGTGACATCATAAGACTAGTTCTTTAGTCAAAAGCGACCCGTCCACAACTAATCATCGTCAAGGACTTTTTAATACAAAGACTAGACAGGTCAAAACGATATGACTCTTGTCCGAAAATGATTTAAATATGTAAGGATAAAGGTTAGATTCGAACATGCATATAATTTGTTACTTTCCCATCACTTAGACAATGATCAACACATCAACTTTTACATGTTCATAATCATTCTAAGGTACCATTTAATACAAATTACTCAACTTTTTTTCAAGTTATCATTGTAATAAAAAAATTATCTATTACAAAATACAAAATTATTTAGACAATGTTGAAAAAAAATAAATTTAAAATTTTTTTATTTTTGTCTACACGAATTTCTTCTGATTATTATCAACTAGAATTACATAGTTATAGCAAGAAAAACTAATTTTTTTGATGTAATAATCTGCGTAAAAATTTCAATTGTGCATTTTCAAATTGAAACTAAACTAAATTCAGGTCGTTAAAATACATTCTTAAATTTATATCATCGGAATTTCTATTTAAATAAAATAAAATAAAATTATGGCACAAAATACTTACACTGTTTTCAAATTAAATTAGTTTTATTTATTTTTTTGCACATCTAATTGATTCTAAACTATGTAGATCAGTTATTGTGGACATTGCAGACTAGTCATGTCGGTCATGTTCACTTATTTTTTGTTCACTTGGGATACATAGAGACGTGTTAGTACTATTAACAAGTTAAAATGATTAATCCAATTGTTTTATTTTCAAAGAATCGTACAGATGGTTGGCAAAATTGCTTGTCTCTGACAAAAATATTGAAACCAAAGGCAATACAGATTTTTTTTATTGAGCCTGGTACCTAACCAATAGCAGAACGAGGACCAGCCTGTGCCGATAATAAGGCCACAACCTATGTGTATCTTCTATTGGTCATTGATGGGTCAGCACTCGGTCACAACGCGGTTCGACATTCTGACCTCATGACCGAGAGCAACTGCCCACTCACTCTGTCCGCTATTCATTCCTTTCTCACTTCTCTTTGTTTTCTCTCTCGTATATAAGCTCGTGTTCTGTATGAAATCGACAGAATTGAAGTGACGGAGTAGGATAGTGAACGTCGTACACCAAGGATAACGGTAACGCTATTTCTCTAGTTTCTCAAGGTTGATCAACAAAAAACAAAAAAATAAAGACTGCAATACTGACGAAACATTCTATTCATCATTTTCGTTACATAGACCTAAACCAAGAAGTTGATTTTCTAGATTCCTAGCTGTCATCTCGAGTCAAAATAGATGGAGTCGAATATTATTGAACTGTCTGTGCAACCAAGTGAGTTCAGACTGATTTCATTTATATATCTAGTAATGAAATCAAATCGTTTTGATTTAGTTATTATTTATAGAAGTGGTGAAACCAAACAATTTCGTAGGAATTATACTCGACATCAACTATTAGGTTAAATTAATATTTTTTTTTATTAAATGAATTTTATGAAATTTTCTTTCGTTTTTTTGTGATAGGATTAGAAAAAGAATTTCATTTTTCCAAATATTTAAGTTGTCGACAACGTACTGAAATAGCTCATTCACTTATTTTATCTGAACGGTACGAGTTTTCTTTTCTTGGAATTCAAATGCAATTTAATTTCACTGTTTTTTCATCTATCTTCAGACAAATCAAAATTTGGTTTCAAAATAGGTTTGTATATATCTTTGCTCTTATCTGTTATGTGTAATATTAAAAGAAAAATTCTTTTATTTAATAGAAGACTGAAATGGAGAAAAGATTGTATATTATCAAATACAAAATCAACATTATCCGATACATTTCCATCTGCAACAACATCATCGCCTAATCTTATAAAAAAAGAAGAACAGGATATCGATCCTAATATAATGAATAACTATATAAAAGAAGAAGCTTGTTCATCAACATCATCGAATTAACAAAGAATATCATTTCTTTTTCTCTTAATTTGAAACAAAAGAAAATGAGCTAAAATAATGAATTTCATACGAAAAATAAAATAGAACATTGTTTCAATTAATGATGCATGAACAAATGGTTTCATTCATGTTTTTTTTTTCTTTTTGTTTTGGTTAGATAGAATTTCTATTTGTGAATAATATACATTGTGTAACATTATAATATAAACTCTCTCATTTTTGTCGAAAAAGATGAATCGGTAATAATCATTTTTTTTCTCTCCTCTTGCTGATTGATGAACGTATAGAAAGATCCATTGAAACAACGTATGTTTATGGCGGCAAAAGATCATTCGTCTTCTTTACTCAAATGTAGATTCCATTGATTTTTTCTTTTAATCATTCAAGATATGCAAGATTATATGAATTCATCGCTTTAAATAGTCATTGTTATTACTCTTTCACCAATACAATCATTAGTCATTTCAAACAACACGAAATTCACAAGAAAAAGAGTTCTATATGACATGTTTCTCTATCTTAAATACTGATATCAATATTATTGATTAATTTTATTTTTATATCAGATTGACTTTTATTTTTAGAATTAATCGAAATGTTTTTATTTAAAATTTAGAACTTAATAAGAATTCAGCTCAGATTGGCATAAATTTTGTAAATCTTTGGTAAAGAATATTATGAATGTACAAACAAATAAAGTGTTTACAATTGTGTATCAGCATGGAATTATAGCAATAACGATATGGAAATTTGTATTATCAACAGAATATAAATTTATGTCTTTTAAAAAAAAACACGAATACAATTTTTTTCTCTCCTATTTACTAAAGACATGTTATACGTTATGTTTAATTTCTGGTCCTTCACGACCATCATCACAACAACACTACAACAGAGTCGGAATCGATATGGATTTTAAAAATTCCGAAAATTCTATTTCCTTCGTTTCTTCTACACCATTCAGTAAACCAAACTTATATATGCCAATAGGTAAATAATATGAAATAGAAAAGTGAAAATCCGCAATAAATTAACTTTTTAAGTTGATTATTGCAAAAAAAAGAGACCAGCATCGGGTAATATCTCTATTTTCATCATTGTCAAGAATATACTATCGTCGTACATATCAACAGTTGCTAGTTTATAGAAAACAAATTTTCGGAGTAGAAGTCAGAGGTCGAAACGAATAAGAAAATCTTCATTTGATTCTATTTGGTTCGGTTCATATTGAAAAAAAGAGTCCTTCATTGTCATGTGCAAAATGTGCCTATACTCTGTATAAGTTGGTCAAGGTAGTAGTTTCTGAATTTGGATTATTAACACTGATGGTGTTATCTCCTTGTAGAAAGACGTACATATCAGAAAAGGAGTAAATTAACTTCTAATATCAGTCCAAATCTATCTTGATGATATGTTGTAAACACTAGTTGAACATCGGCAATCTTAGCTGGGTCAAGTGTATCACGTTTGAATTAGAAAACTTCAATATTAAATATATATTTACTTATAACTGTGCGACTTATCATACAATCGAAGAAGCAAATGCTCGCTTTACCAATACTAAAACTCTATTCATATATCAACTCAACTAACAGCTGCATATATTATTTGTTTCCTGTAAAATTTTCTCTACTAGAATAAACCAATCGAAACTGACTTTTTTTTTTCAATGCAACCACAAAAAATAGTTGAACTAGTAGACATCTTAAACAGAGAGATCAAGACAATTTGAAAAAGCGCAAGACATAATTTCGATCTCTGGTAGGAGTTGAAAAAACGTGACTTCACAGGTCTCGAATACTGGCTATACAGATTTAGTTTCACCCTTTTGTTCACAATAGTATTTCGCATAGACAAAACCTAGTTTTAGGCTAATCAGAACTTGAAAAAAAAATACTTGTTTTAATTACACGAAGTGACAGAACAGCTAATTGTGTACGAAACGAAACTTTGCCGAGCTTTCGACAATATTTTTTTCAATTGATTCTATCAAGATTAATTGTTGAAAAGCAAGACCGGTTTTATTGATGATGAGAAAAATTAGACCAGATTCTAGGTACACAGTATAATCATGTTGTTGTTCCAAGACGATACATTTTTTTTTCTTATAGAAATACACAATGTTTCTTGGAAGAGATATAAGATCTTAAAAGTATGTATGTTTCACCTTTCTTGATTCAGGTTAGGAGATTTGTCTCTCATAAATAATTCAATTTTTTTAAATTTTATTTATCATTGAGAATGATTGAATGAAATATTTGCAATTTTTCAACAGTTATGAACTTTCCATGTCATTATAACGTTACTCACATGGGGTGTGGGTGTCTTTCTTCTTTGGCACACCCGTATCCAAATATTTTTTGTCGAGATGAAATTTTTCCGTACACCTTGCTCGATGATAGATCTACTTATGCACTTTAAGTTTTATCTCGAAACACTGTCATTCACTTTCTTGAGATTATATTATATCAAAGACTAAAGTTACAATAAAATGACGAGCGGAGTGAAAGTATGGATGTTCTGAAACCTCATAAAAATTAATACAGCTGGAATATATAAATAAGTTTCGATGATCCTTCAATAATTATTTCTTCTTAAATTTGTTTTATTACCGCCATGGAAAAGTTATTCTAGCTATCATAAAATGAATTCTCTTTCCACTCGAAACACGTATCTCGAACCGCTGACGATCTTCTGTTCAATTTTGCACACTCGACGACGAACCATCAATGTGGCTCAAGGAAGCAAAAAGAATTGTCGGTGGCACGACTTACATCTCTACTTTTCAGTACACAATAAAATATCACTCTCTCTGTCTAATCTATTCAACATGCGTCAAGAATAAAAAGATGATGATTTTATTATTGCACGTGTATATACATTCAACGTCGATCAAAAAAAACTTTCTTAATCAGTATCATCGTTATCCCCTATCTTAAACATGCAACGAACGACACGGCAAGATAACGATCTAGCTATAATTTCAAATAGTAATAAAAAACGAAAATTAAAGATCAAAGTAATCTTTCACATTAATATTTATTACATCTAATTTTCTCTTTTCGTTGTTTCAGTAACAATGATCAATTAAAATAAGTCGAATGGATCTTTTTCATCCTATAAATAATAATCCTTTATTTTCATTTAGATATCTTTTTGAAGATTTAGCCAATGAAATCCTTTATGAAATATTGGAATATCTTGATACGTACGATATTTATAAGGCATTTTATAATCTTAATAAACGATTTCAAAATCTAGCTATTAATTCAAATGTTTTAACTAAAATCAACATTTCAGCAATGTCAAAATCAAATTTCGAAGATTATAATCGAAATATTTTTATACCAAATCGAAAACGAATTAAATTACTTCGTTTATCAAATCCATTTACTGCTGATATTATTTTTTCACCAGCACGTACTATTTTAAATTTTGGTCAGCTTGAAACATTAATTCTTGATAACATAAAAATTAGGTTTCTCATAAACTTGATTTCATAGATTTTGATAAATTTAAAAAGTTTATCAAAAAATTTTTTTATCATGTTCAAATTTTACGTCTTACTACATGTTATGATGATAACTGTTTAAATGCTAAACGATGGCAAGAGTTAATAATATCTCACATATCATATTTACATATTTTTGACATCAATCATGAAGATTGTGTGATGAAGAATAATTTAACATATCATGACATAATTAATCAGTTTAATTCTTCGTTTTGGAATGAGAAAAAATGGTTTTTTACACATCAGCATGAGTGGAAGGGCGATTTAAATAGTGGAATTCTTTATTCAACCGCTCTATATCGGTAAAGAGAAATTGTTGTTCATCCAGAAAAGTAGTCATCGTGGCCATTTTTATAGCAACTGAAGAACAGATAGAGTTTGAGAGCTGCAGTTTTTGTCATTCGACAGATAGTATGTAAGGCTATCAAAGTTTATTGGAGTCTGATTGATTAACAATTTAGTAAACAATTGGTCAGTATAGATATCGATATACTGAAACTAGATTTATATCGATTTTAAGGTTGACTTCTCTGTTATATAAAGAGATTGATTCGGATGGTTAGTTACTTCTGTGTAGCTACTTATCTATGTGATCACAGATCAATAGAATCAGATAGAAATGTCTGCCTACCCTTCTCTTTTGAATGACGAAACTTGCATATCTTAAACTGATTCTGTTCTCAAGTCATTTGAGAAAAAAGTCTCCGAAGGCCAGTTGTATAGATTGAATATATAGTTTTTATTCTATTTGTTTTCTGTTTAGACGAAAAGATTATAAGTATTATTGAAAGCCCAACGATCAAATATGTTCAGATATTCAAGAAGAAAATTTAAATTCAGTTAAACATTTTTATATTGCTAGTGAAAAAACGAGAATAATTGTGTAAATTATTTTCCAAATGTTAATGAATTATCTATTGAAAATAATTTTGAAGCATCAGCTGATTCGACTAGTGCAACCCCCTTCATCGTATGATACTTTGAAGGTAACTGACAAAACTAGATTTTGATTCTTATTCTTTTTCAATGGAAGACATAATCAATTTATTACGTTTTACACGTAATGTACATACATTCAACTTGAATCTATTGTATTTAGATCATATTAATATAAATTTGAATGAAAAAAATGAAATTTTTCCATATGTATCAAAGAAAACTAAAATTCAAAATTTTGTTCTTAGTGGTAGATGTTTGTTGAGTTAAATCCAATTTACTGGTTATTTATTTTCAAAATTAGAATATCTCAAAGTTTAAATGAACAAAAAGGATATAGAAAAAACTATTCGATTTTTATTATTGAAAACTGATAATAAAACACGAAATTTGTTCTATTTATGTATTTCGAAAGTATCAAAAGTATGCCTAAAAACAAATAAAAATTTTAATTAAATCAGAAAACTTAGTGATTATTCTATTAAATATGTTAATCATGATTTACATTGATGGTGGTAAAAATTTAGTTGTTTAGGATATGTTTTATTTACGTTTTTGTTGTATATAACGGTGATTATTTTTAAATAAATAAATCAAAAAATAAAATTTCAATAAATGATATGATTGTTTTTAATTAGCATATTAATGCAGCAAATCTAAAAAAACCAAAACAAATAAGGTCTTCCGAAGTTGAAACTTAAAGAAAACGTTTTCTTGTCGATATGCTAACGTCATGAGATAGAGCGCGTCGGCATGCATATCAAATATTGGCTTTTATACATTGAAGCAAAGTACAGTGAAAAAACTTAGAAAATACTATTTTTCTTATTTTGACGTTAAAATGGTGTCATTTTTAAGAATATTCTTAATTTGCTGCTTTTTTTCTTATACTCATGTTTAATTTTATCTTCTTGAAATATTCCATTGAGAATCTTTAGACATTTTCGTTTTAGAAAAGGACAACCTACTTGGATTAACAGACGAGAGAGCTTCAAGAGGACTTTCTGAATTCTTGAAGGATACTTTCAAAGACGGCGGCGTTCAATAGACACAAATTTCAACGACTAATTTGACCTTGTTTTAATTGATATAAGACCATGTGTTAATAACAATAAGCATGAAATTTAAATAAGCCTCTTGCTTTCTTCGAAAACTTGAATTTTGAATGACAACGTCAGTGAAAGTACCTCAAAAGCTGTTCTTTCTATTTGAAATCAGGAAATGTTATTATCAAATATGAATTTGACAGAAGAATAGATAGCATTTATGTAATTAGTTTAAAAAGAGCGTTATCAAAAAACCTGTAGTTAAGCAAAGTTAAGCTTTCAAGCAAATTTGATCGTAGAAGAACCATAGGTAGATGTTTATGAAATAAACTTCCAAGGAGAACACAGATAGGTTTTGAGTAGTAGATCATTTTGTGAACATATAGGCTTTCTGATTTACTTCTTTGATAATAAAACTCAAATACTAACGAAAATGAAACCTTCTTTCGATTATTTTGCCATTAATGTCAAGGTGAATTCAATTTATTTGCATCAATGAAAACTCAGTCTTTTTGGAAAACATCTCCTTCGAGGCTACAATATTCCTTGACAGATCTAGATTTCTTTGAAATACTAGTTAAACTGTTTTATTTCTGAATCCTTGGAAGTTGTCTTCTTCTTTAGCAAAAGTATCCAAAGAATTTTGAATGTTCCTTTCCGAACATGAACATTTTGATGTCATGGTTAATTATACATACTGTACTTAGTAACTACAGCAATGTTTCAAGTTATTTATTGATTGGACTGTTAACCAAAATAAGTTGATCGATATGTTAACGATTAAGAAAGGATGATATCATAATGGAGAGTGTGTATGTCAGAACTGAATAGACGCTGTACATATTATGAAGTGTGTTTAATAATTTTTCTAAGAGGATGAATGGAAACAATGATCATCCAGAGCTATACGAACAAAAGGAATTCTAGAAATAGAGATGATGAAAGGTATTCGGTGGTCTTCATTTAGATGAAATTCATATGGGTCATCTGTACTTTGATGATTGACGTTTTCGGTTATTGAGGACTAGGCACACAAGCGGCGACTTAATCTTTGATCATTTACTTTTGATCGACCTTGAATATATTCAAGGGAAATAAACTAATTGTGGATGATTTCAAACTGATTTCCGCTATTGAAATTCGTTTGCTTCTCTCGAGTTTGACCACCATAGATCGTACACCCAATGAAACAGGATGGGACAACTAGTGAACAATAATTGTTTGAAAAACAAACTATTGTTACGTATGACAGTTCCCTGCTCTTAATATTTTGGGAAGTTTTTTCACGACACATTTGAATGTGGGTGTTTAGATGTGAATCTTTTCTACATGCACATCCACACCATACCCCACACCTACATTCACTTCTACATCCGCATCCTTGTTGCAAAAGTATTTGCACCACATATTTGTTCAATTTTCGGTCACATATAATTCATTGGAGAAAGTTAAAGGTAATCGGCTAGGACGAGTATTTCATGCTCTTTCTAAATACATGCTCAAAGTTTTTCTTCTGATTTATGGTTGGTTCATTAGGAGGAAATCTTCGAAGGGATCAAAATCGATGTTTCTACAAAACGCTCAGTTAACAGAT